ATTGATCCTCCTTTAAATTGCCTCCAGTCAACTTTTTTTGTAAGTACAAGTTGTATTTAACATTGTACTAATGTTGTTTATAGATGCAAAAATAAAAATCACCAATATAAATACGAATAGAATATATAATTGGTCCAATTAAACCAAATTTTACATTCAAGGGAGGTTTAACAGACTAAAAATGAGCTTCAACGATGTAGAAGTCAAGTAATCTCGCAAGCAAGTTTCTTAAAGTTTCGAAAGTCTTTTTTGCATTTAGTGGTTTAAACTTTGAGAATGTCGAATGCCTCAAGCTATAATTATGCAGATTTGGCGTAGATACAAAGCAATATTCGCTGTTATAAATATATAAGATTGTGAAAAATAAAAAATAGCAGCTGAAAAGCAGTTTGCAAAAACCATAACTCCCTACTAACTAGCCAAAACAAAAAGGATTTTCTTCTGCGGCGCTTAAAAAAGGAATACTATACTTGAAAGGCTCGATCAAAGCAATGTACCAATATTTTAAAATAAACGAATATTTTAAAATTAATACTGACATCAAAACATCTCAAGGATAGCCTGCTGACATGGAAGGGAGTTATCTCCCGTCGTTTCGAAAAACCGACGCGTCACAGAAACTGTCGGAGTTCGTTAAAAATACCAATTAGTTCCGGGTCCGGTTAGAATCCCGGATTTTAAACTACATGTCCCGCGGTTTAATTCCGAATTTTCCGGACACTCGAGTCCGGGCCGGCAATTTCGTCCGGCCGCCTCCCCGCCACCTCACTAAAACTCACCGGTGACCGTTCAAATAAACCGCAATTTAATGGAATATCGGGCGGGCGGAATTTAAAAACGATTTCCTCCGTGTGAAAAGTGAAAGATTTCCGATTCGATTATCTTAAAACATCGCCGTGCCTCCGCTCCGTGGGGATTAAAAAACACGAACGTGTTTATAACGGCTCTCTCGAATTTCCGTTACTTTTCTAACACGTCAACTGCAAGCGAGAAGATTAAAATCGAAGTTTCTGCGCGACAAGGGGAAATCGTATATATTTACGAAACAAATCCGAGTATAAACGAACATAGAACTACGTTTCTGCTATTCCCCGCCTCCAGAAATGTCCGACACCAACGTCCTAATCAATTCTAACCACTTTGATAGATATGTTTCTCGAATATACTACGAGAACGATACAAGATCTGGGGACTTACCTTTAATAAAATATTGCACTTTGGAATTAGAAGTGATATACTTGGTACTTCAATGGAAATACAATTCGCAGCGGAATCATAAATCCCAATCGAATCTGTATCAGCTGATAGCTGTTATCCTCTTCGCAATTTCATCGCGTTAACGAGACTTCATCTCAATTACCTCGTCGGGGTAGCGGGGTAGGCGGGGAGCGCGCGAAATGCTACGTTTTCGAAACGGTTTTCACGCTAGGGGTTCCGGTATTAACATACTTTAATTGCTTAGGAAACAGGGGATGACTTTGTCGGTTAAGTCGACGAAAACCAGGTACGCCGAAAGGCTCGGCAAGTATTAAACCACCCTCAAGTGCACTTTGCGTAAACACACCCTTTCGAGTCGCGTAATGGGGGCTAATAAACGACCCTCGAAAACGACAAGAATATTAATATACGTAAGCGTCTGGTCCCCGGAATTACTACGCCACCCTCTACGCGTTTCGAGCCGGAAATGCCGTCGCCGACACGTTTCGATGCTGTAAAGGGTTCGCTTCGTGGGTGAAATGAAACTCCTGACGAACATTCGCCATTAGACGGGGGTGTAAAGATGAATAAACGAAAAGATGGGATCGTAACACCAAAATCGTGAAAACTCTTACCCCTACATTACATTACATTACGAATCTCTGTCTGTGCTCTATTCGTTACGACTGATTCGGATTTAAAACTTTTGGTACAGATTTTCTAGAATAACCAGCCCTAAATATCTGTAACCCCCAAAAATTATACCCTGTATTTCGCATCGACGGAATTACGGTTAGTCCGTTGATAACAGCGAGTTCCTTAATTCCACCATCCCGTCTGTAGGCTTTGCATTACAACGCCGCCGGTCTTGTAAGCAAACAGACCCGACCCGAAACTCACCTGAGATAATAGGGTAGCGAGGGTGCAAAATACACACCACCGTCGGAATCCCGTTATCAGCGCCGGCGGCGGGATCTGGTAACGCGGCTTATTAACCAAGAGCTCTTGTCGAAGGTTTAGTGGAAGTTTCGCTCGTGCCACCTCGCCCGCGGACAGGCGATTTTTTTTCCTTTTGACAACCGGGGCGGGTTAGACGTGACAAACGATCTGCGTCCGACGCAGGTCAATTATTATACGACGTTTCGTTTCTTTAGGGAGATCCTCGTTGTTGTTTTTACCGCTCCGGTTTCGGACCGCGACCGTGAGCGGCTTGACAAGCAACTTCTCTGGACGTGTAAAGAATACAAAAGTGAGATACGTTTCGGGAACATTCGTTTTTTCGTTGCTTGCGATAAAATTCCTTACCAACATTGGGACTCAGAGGTAACTGACAGTTTCCTCCAAGGATGCTTATTATAAAAATATGAAAACTGCCATCATAAATGACCACAATTTATATCATTGAAATCTTGCTTCGTTTCACCATAATGGTACAAAATCCGCTACTTTGAAAATATTTTACAACCAATTACAAACTAACCAAAGCTATCGAAATATATCATTACTCTCCAAAATTTTTTATATCCTACCCAATGAGTACCTGGACTTTTTCATTATCTAAATTTATAACTCCACATTTTTATTAGCCAACTATGGTCCTTATATAGATCTAAGTTTGTAAGGCACGTTTGGGTATTGATAACAGCTCTAATGAATCCAAGGTCCTAAAAAAAGACCTAGACCCCGTTTGTATAGTATCAAATACATTGCTTTTCCTTCCTTGTCTAGCGCTATTGCTTCGATGGATGAGTTGTGGCTTTGGGTTTCCTTCAATTGATCTTTTGCTTCTTGCGCTGAATTAACAACTTTCGCTATTGCAGGTGCTCCTCCACCTCGCGATCCCAAGGGTCTAAGTATAGTAAATATCAATCAATTGTAGGAAAACTCCTGCCTTATTACACGAACAGGTCTAACTCTTTTACCTTTTTTGAGATTTTTCTGCTTTTTTAACAGATTTTTCTTTTTTAAAAAAATTCTCTAAAATTTATATCTTTTCTTGATCGCTTTTAAGAATGCTTCCTTTTAGATATACTTCCCATTCCAAGTGTGCTTTTAGTTTTTATTGCAGTTGCCACTGCTAAAGCTGCAGCGTTCTTTCGCTTTTTGCAGAAAGTTATTGTCAACCTCGTGTCTATCTTTTAAATCTTTGTTTTGGTGATATGTTCGACTGTAGAATTTTTTTGTGCTATAAGTAGAGTCTTTGGTGATTTGACCAGCCACCGTGTGCCGGTGGAACTTTGATATCTCGAGATCTATGGTATAGATTTCATTCGAACATGTCTGAAATACGTTAGGAACAGGTCTCCATCAGGTTCGAACAGTTCAAAAATATCAATGTTCGAGCGTAAAGCGAAGTTACGTGTGTGATTTGCTTTATTGATAAAAGGTTCCGTGTATGGACGCGCAGCTGAAGCAGATGGGTATGGATGCGTGTTACACCGCACACCGAAAAAAGATGCGATTCAGACATCTCCGCGTAAGGAAGCATGTGTCCAAAATCATCACGCTGCCGCCAGGCACATTGTAACGATTTGTTTAAAAAATAAGTAAAGTTTTTAAGTTTGGCAATTTCACGATTTTCACTCACGACCGAGTCCACTGCTTCCCCGAGCAAAAACAGGGTGGTCCTTCGACGCTCTAACATAAGAAAAGTTGGTCCTTCGAGCCGGACTGGATTGGCAAAGTCAGAAACACGAACAAGAATCATCGAGTCACGTGAGTCCTTTCCAGTTATCAAAATCCCAAATGAAGCAACCATCTCGCATTTTCAATTTATCGAATTCATTTCCCACGATTTGTTTTTGCTAAAATTTTTCAACGTTTGAAAAACAAAAGATTGTTGATCTCATTCACGAAAGATGCCTTCAAAAAAAGCAAATGACGAAAGGTTACAGCTTAACCACACTCGAGAAGTAATTATCAAACAGCTCTCAATTTACTTCAGGAACGTTACGAAAATAGGCGTGCGATCGTCAACAATCACATAAACAGCATTCTTTTCAAATTACCCGATGTTCAAAAAGAGTCTTCGACAATCAATGTAAAAAATACTATGGTGCAAGTCAATTCAAAGCACTTATAACTGTATTTAGTGCTAGCGAAATGAAATATTAGAGTGTGTTAGGTTTTATATTTTTTTAAATAAGATCAAAATCTATACTTATTATGTTTTGGTTAGAATTATGACACCTTTCGAAAATATACTAAAACATTGTGAATTTACGATTAAGATTAAGTTTGCCAATGCTGCATTGTTAAAATTCCCTGGAAATGCCCGTCCTCATTCGATTGTGTGCAAAAACACTTCCGATCCGGACCTGTTCCGGGGTCGTCAAAACAAATGACAACAGTTACAGCTGCCGGTCCGTTTTCCGAGCCCGCCTCGTGTGTAGTTTTTCTTAATAAAAGGGCGATTTTTTTTTCGTCCCTTTCTTCGGGGGGCGTAAAATCCATGCCGCTAGTAACGGAGGTCGATAGGGAGGAAGTCAGCTGTCGCTAACTGTTGTTTACTTCGGGGCGTCTTCCTTGCCACTGTCACCGAGCCGCTGCAGAAAGTTGGCGGTTCGCAATGACGGGGTTGTTTTAAATTGCGATCAGTGACGTACAGGCGCGCTGATAACATCGTAAAATTTACTGCCGCAGGGCCGAGATCGCAGATATCATTCTTTGAGGCGATTTTACGGGTTTTGATTAAAGACGCATCGACTTTTATCGCCCCTCGACGGCCCGAAAGAATAGAAATGGCTCGCTTAAGCCCGGGAATTTTTACATCGTCGGCAACCCTTTCGCGAGCGCTGCCTTACCTATATCGGAAGATCCTCCCCACGTACCCTGCTGGGCTTGTTTCGCTAGCTTGTTGATGGCGTCGACGTATAACCGCGAAGCGGCCGTTGCCCCTGCAAAAAGGAAAATGAAGTCTTTTAATCCCGCACCTGATCTTTTAATCCCACACCTGATCTTTTATGGGGCGAAATAGAGAGATCGCTTTGGCGGAAAAGAAAAATAAATTGCGAGCGCTCTTTCGGAACGGCATTGACCCAGAAAATGAGAACCGGAGTCCGGGCAAAAGCCCGAGGATCTCGTTTATGTGTCCCATTCCACTTTTCTTAATTGGGAACGAAATTTTTGGAAGCCGAATTAACTTTTGCGGCACGGAAAGTAATTGGACTTTTTATTGTTCCGAGAGATAACGTCGCCGCACCGTAATCGAGTTAAGAAAGTTTGAGCTTTCTGTTAAATCGGGAGAATATATTCGAAATTCGAAGGCTATAATTTGTGGTACTAAGATTGCAGACTTCGCTGGCTTGAGAGACAGAGAGTAATTTGTTCCATATTGCAGTAGGTTTTCTTCCCCATATCAATCAGTTCTTCAATTTAAATTTTGTTTTATCAGCCAACTTGACGTAAAGATATCCAGAACGCCCTAGGTTTCGAACGAAATTAAACAGACTCTTTTATCGCTTAACGTCAAAACCTAAGGAAAACACCATTCCCCGAGCTTCTCAAACCGACGGGAAAAGGAAGAGCAAAAACGCCCGACTGTAGTGGCAGATACACTCAGCTAGTCGACAAAAACTTAATCCGGCCGCGCCAGGAAACGTTCGTGACGACCAAGTTGGAACTTAAAATTAAAGTTTCGAGTAAAATATCGCGCATCGGAGTCAAACTTATCTGATCGAGACTAACAAACGACTCGGGGCGAAAATCTACCGCGACTGTTTCGTTTTACACGAACGCGAGAAAATAAACTACCGACGTGAACTCTGGGAAAATTTTGCTTAAGAATTTTAAAATTTGCTTTAAATTAAATATAAATTGCAAATCTTTAGTCCTCACGAAGGATTTAAAAATAATATAGTGAAATACTAGGCTGGGGTTTCTTTGCAATTCTTCTATATGTGCCAATGCCCCAATGTTCCTTAGAAGCCAAATGTTACACTAAAAAAACAAACTTTACGTCAGCGTCGTAAAACTGCATTTTCCGCATATTCAGATTTACGAAACGAAATAAACCGTTTTTTATTATCGCAGAACGAAAAAAGAAGATGCGCGTCGTACCCTCCCGAATAGTGGATTCGGGAAAACCATTCGCGGTACATGAGAGCTAATTGAAAACATCCCGGCGAACATGTCGCCCGCTTTTTCGTCTGTACAGACAGAAGTACTAATTAAAACTAAAACTCGAGAGCGAGGGAGTTAATTAATTTTGAATTAAACATGTTCCGCGAGTCGTCAGCCGGCGTCGGAAAGAGAAATTCGGCGACGCGTCCTCAGTCGTCGAACGGATTGGTTTAACCGGAGAATATTATAAGCCGCGATTTCGTAGAATGCCTCACGGTTGAGTCATCGTGAGGCTGCGTCTCTTTGAGTATAATCTGTCAGGCGTGTGCGAATGTACTAGATCCTAAGGTTGTGTCTTCGAAATCTTTCAATTTTACGATCTTCTTCTTGATGTGCCATATCCGTTTTTTACCGAATGTTAGCACAATACTTTATTTACCGCTGTCCTAAACAGTGTATTAGTTGATTGTCTGAACCACTGTGGTAGCTTTTTCAGCAAAGCTGTTCTTCTTCCTGAGCCTCGTCTTCCCTCAATCTTGTCTTGCTTCCTTGCTTAGTAATTGTCCCAAATATTCAATCGTCTTGACTCTTTCAAGTTTACTTTGACCGATCCACAGTTCTGCATTTATATTCGGTTCTTTAGTTGCAACCCTATGTTTGGTCTTTTTGATGTTAAGTCCGTAAAGATTGCATGAAACTAGTACTTGATCTAGGAGTTTTTGAACTCCTTTAATATTATCTGTCAGTAGAACGGAATCATGTACATATCCTAAGTTGTTTATTATTACCCAATTATTTTTATTCCTTCTTATGATATTCACTAAAGCTTCTTGGAATGTTGTTTCCGACTATAAATCGAAAAGCAATGGTCAAAAAAATCCTGTCTTACCCCTCTTTCAGGCATATTATTTCCTTCACATTTGCCTTTTGATGCCAGTAGAGGTTGGCAATGATTCTCAGGTCCCTGTCATCAATTCTTGTTAGTATTCGAAAAATGTTTTCCTGTTGCACTCTTTCAAATGCTTTCTCGGAGTCAGTAAAGCATGTAAATACATCGCAGTTCATATATCGACATCTTTCAGTTAAAACTTGAACGCTGAACAGAGCCTCTCTTGTACCTAGGTCCTTACGGAATCCAAACTGACTATTTTGAATGTGTTCCTCAATTTTGTGGTAAATTCTTTGATGTATTATTTTTAGAAACAATTTTAAGACATGACTCATCAGACTTATGCTGCGATGTTCATTACAATTTCTAGCCTAGTCAGATGGTATATTAAACAACTTAACTAATAATGCAATTGCTTTCTCTTTCAGCATTTTTAGTATGTGAGTTGGGATTTCTATTGGCAATGTTGCTCTCTAGGTTTTTTGCTAATTTAATAGTTCTCTCTATTTCGTCTTTGGTAATTGGCGGTCCAGTTATGTTTTCTTTTACGCCATGATTCGCGTTTCGCTTATATTCAAATAGCTCTTCAATATACTCTACAGTTAAGCTTCCATTTTTCTCCATTATTGTATTCACACTTGTACTTGCTTTAACTTTCTTTCATACTCTTCAATCCCTACACAGAAGTACAACGTTTTGGCATGTCTAATTTTCCTTCTTATTTCTGAATTAAATTATTTGCAGTCAGCCTCATTTCCCCGGACTATCTGTTGTCTTCTGTCTTGCATTAGATTCAGAATTTCTTCTGTCATCCACACTTTTTTCTTGGGTTTCTTATCTGATTTCAATTTATCTTTTAATCAATTATACAATACGAGATACGAATTAACAGTGACAGCAATACATTATATGTTGGATGTAGGATCCTATCTGGACTGCGTTTTTATACGCACCTGTGTATATAGTCCCTTATCTGCACCATGACCAGAGGACTACGCCCAACATGTACTATTAGGCATTTATACTAATCCCAATATTGTCTAAACGGTATATTCGGGCGTGTACGGAATTCAGGCGGTCCCTCTCAAGAATCCATTAGAACCGATCTAACAATGCATCCCCGGATAATATCGTGGCCCGACTGTAACTCCCGGACGGTGAACGGTCGACCGCCCGAAGGGTCGTCGCGAGGGGCCTTAATCCTCCCCCAGGCCGGAGATTTTGTTTACAGGCCATTATTCCAAACGGGACGTCTTTTCCGCGACGATTAACGAGTCCTCCACTTTATCAAATTGAGTTCTCGAGTGTTTAATCGCGTTTAATGCCCCCCCCCGCCCGGCGCGTTCGTTTGTTATTTTGTTGTTTCTCTTTCTCATTCGGGGAGGGACTGCGGGACAAATAATTAGTTTTGGCCGGATCGGCGCGGGTGCCAAATTAGTTTCGGTCGAATCCGTATGGCCGCGAGGTGCTAGTAAGTCGGAATGGGGCGGTCGGCCTACCGGGAGATTTTATCGGAGACTCTCGCGCACAACCTCGGTGTATGTAAACGTCGACGACGGGGATAGGGGCTCTTTTGTGTCGCGTTAACACCACTCGCTATGTACGAGCGTCCACCCGCCACCCCTTTTCCGTTTCGTTCCGTGCCGTCGCGTTCTTTTCGCGCATTTCGCAGTCGAGCGGCCTTTTTTTTCAACCCCGTTAGGGTAATTCCGTCGTAGCGTCAACGTCTAGCGCCCCCGTCACCGAGAAAGGCGCACCCCGAATGCAGCCCCGGAAAACCATCCCACCCCCCCGGAAGAAAATTCAATTCTTGGTTCGGGGGAGAAAGTTTCCGGGCCTCCCGGGAGACGGGCGAATCTTTTCTTTGTCGGATTAAACGGTAATTTGACTGATGAATTCAATTCCAAGTGGGTGCGCGTGCAAAAACATCCTCCTGCAGTCTCGTCGGGTTAAACGACCCCGTCTTCGGGGGTAGTTGTACGTCCCGCCGTCTCTGCTTGGCTGTTGAAATAAAACGTACTGGGCCAAATACCAACGTTACGATGTAAAGTGTTTTGAAGTCCTACCGAAAAGCAACACGACCAGTAGTGCCAGTAGTATTGAAAATATAACTTTGTTTTTATTTTTCGGTCTATTTGGTCTATCCAGTCCTAGAGTCACCTAGACGCTATAAAGTACAAGAACATGATATGGAGTGCCATAAACTTAATGAGAAACAGCAGAGCAGCCGGATCAGAAAACATCCCAGCAGAACTGCTAAAAAACGGCATACAAAATCTTATATCCTTCATTGAAGAGCTCTTTTCCAGAATAATTATTAATGAAGATGCAATACCTTCAATTTGGAAGGAGAAGATAATTAAAATTAAAATCATTGTTGACCAGAATTACGGCCCTAACGAAATCGAGGAGCAAGCAGGCTTCAGAGCAGACCGATCATGCTTGGATTCCATATTTAGCCTGGTGCAGCTGAATGAGAAAAAGGTGGCAAGAAACAGGGAAGTTCACCTCTTGTTTGTCGATCTAACAATGGCCTACGATACAGTCCCCATCCAAAAACTATGACAGGTACTAGAAGAATCACCGGTCAATAATACAGCGATAACAGCAATTAAACAGCTCTATAGCCAAGTCACACCTCGAATTAAGCTAGGAAAGACGTATCGGAAAAATTTCAATTCTCAAAAGGCCTTCTACAGAGATGTTGTCTCTTCCTGACACTTTTCAAGATTTATTTGAAGCTTTAAGAAAATGGAGAAACGCGGAATGGGAATAGAATTAATTACACCCTCCATTTTGCGGATAATCAAGTTGTAGTGCCCCAGGATAAAGAAGACCTATAGTTTATGACAAGGGGGCTATTTGATGAATATACACTATGGGGGCTGCCAGTAAACTGTAATAAAATCAAATACGTGTGTGTGGGCGGAGAAGAAGAGGTTCTCTGAGTTGGAATAAGAGTGGGCGAACAAGAAAGGAAATAGAAGACCGATGAGTAAAAGGAAAAAGAGTCATAGGACATCTCAACTCTATTCTCTGGTCGACACATATTTCTAAAGAAAGCAAAAAACTTATGTACGATACTATATTTAAAAGGATAGTCCTTTATAGACAAAGTCTTGGAAAGAAGACTGCTATCCTTACAGTAAATCAAGGATGAATCGAGTAAACGATCACTGAATAAGAGCAATCATGGACGTGCAGAAGATCATCCTTGAAGAAATAGACAAACTTATATGGTATAGCCACGTAGAGAAAATGGGTGAAGAAAGATTACCAAAGCAAATTCTAAAATGGACACCCACAGAAAGAAGGAAAAAGGGAAGAAATAAGATCAAATGGCTAAACGGAATACACCGAGCCATGTCAGGAGACTAGACCGGAAGGCGTAGCGTGCTATAGAACCGCACTTTGACACAATCACAGCCAGTAGCACCACTGATTATCGGCTTTGGGCACTAAACTCGCACTTAATATATGAACTTGATTATCATTCCTGCCTGGCTGTAGTCTTCAAAAAGAACCCATGGCTAAGTCAGCCAATGGCGGAGATAAAGCGGAGCCAGTAATACCGTCGAAACTTAAATTAAGTGATTTAGACGCTCAGGTAGTCTACGCTAACGGAAAATTATACTCTAATTAAATCACTCACGGGATAAAACAACGTCTTCCAAGGCGACCGAAACAATGGAGGCGTAAATCAACGCCCCCGTGATTTACGGTTCGGCGACATTTTTAATAAAATCCGCCTTATCGAAGGCCGGGATGATTTACCGTTGCTGTTGCGTTACTGCTGTGTCGATAGAAAAATGACACCTATAGACAAACGATCGCCGTCAGTCTACACTATCGTAAAGCAGTCGATCCCTCGTGGGCAACTAATCGAATCGACGACTAGTGTCGCGATTGTTTCCTAATGGAGGGGGCGCGAGAGAGTCGCGGCGCTCGCTGGACCGGAAGGAATCGGCTTGATCTCAAGCGCTCGCCGCGTCGACGTGTGATATTACATTCTCACTAACGAGCGTTTGTCTTTGCTCGACGTCACTCTGCCCCCTCCTCGTCCGCCGGGAAATTGATACAAACGAACCGTCAGCACTAAAAGGATTTAGGCGCCCAACCGGCATTTCGAACCGACGCCGTCGTCTATCGGATTAGTCCCCTATTCTATTCGTTTTTAACACAGTTTTAGTATTATTGAGCGTTTCCCATATCTCCAAGTCGCTGGTAATAAAATTACTGACACCAAGGTGCCAAAAATTGGTTACATCGATATCATAAACTAAGCAGTGCAACTGGCTAATATATGGCGTCGCTTGCTTTCATTGTTCTGCTAGATTTCTAATTATTCCGTTGGTTACTTTTTAACAATAAATTCGTAAAATTGTTTGCTAACATCCCTTACTACTGGTGACTATCTAGTAAGTCTATCGAGTAGGAATCGTGTAAATTTATAAAGAAAATAATATACTTATGGTAGATTTCTCGTCATCTCTAGGCACTTTGAGCTGCGTTTTGGAATTGACTGGTATATTGTCACTTGCTGGAAATCGTTATTCTACTTGTCAATCCGATTCTAGGTGTTTTAAGTTCGAAGATTACCTGGTTATATTGTAACAAAGGTGAAATTTGTACCTCGAAGCGACATTACATCAATACGAAACGTGTTCTGTTACTACCATCCATAGTTATCGAGAAATTTCATTTTTTTCACATTTTTATATTATATATAATTTTTCACGATTCTTAGGTCACCATGTTTTTCGTCGGTTAGGCATTTGTGATCAAAAGCACAAATGCCTAACCGTTGCTTTTGATATTCGTTATTCCTGGCCAATATTTTGGCGTAAAACTTGTCAAGTTGATTTTGCTTGTGAGAGAACTCCGCTCTGTAAGACAATTTTTGGGTTCCGCAACGTTCGAATGGGTGGCGCGGTATAATTGAATTTTTCGGTGTGACTTTGGTAATTTTGTAGAAAATACTAGGCTACTAAGTTGGGATATACGCCGGAGATTCTTCGAGTAGGCTATTGGAGACCTTTGGATGTTTTTGGATTTGCTTTCCGACCGCTCGTCTACATCATCTTGGGGATCGGATGCACCTCACGCACCCACACGAGGTTCTTATTTTTGCTTTGTTGGCACTATTCCAACTTGTTGCTATGTCTCATACTTGCACGTAAACTCCGATCAACACCTACAGGTATGCGACAATTTATTTCGGGGTTACTAACTGACTTTTTTCCTTCGGTTACAGGGGTTTTTGTTTCCGTTTTCCTTTTTTTTGTTTTGCGTTTTCCTTTTTCCTTTTTTTGCCTTTTGCGTTTCCATTTCCGTTTTCCTTTTGCCTTTTTTCGTTTTCCTTTGGAATGTTAGTTTTTCTTGTTTCTTTTTTGAGCTTGCGTTTTTCGTTTTCCGCTTTTTTTTTAATTATACCGCGCAACCCATTCGAACCTTACGGAACCCAAAAATCGTCTCACAGAATGGAGTTCCCTCACACACAAAATCAACAACCACGAACAGCGATGATCACAGCATTCACGATCATAGGTGGCGGTAAAGTCAAAGCGCAATGTCAAATCAACCGGCCAATTAATGTATCTAGACGCGGTGGACCAAAGCAGAACAGTTAACAGCAAATAAAGACCAGAAACGTTCTATCGAGGTCCATTACCCAAACACTGAAAAGGATTTAATTTTAACATAACGAATTATTATTCTTCGCGAGAAACTTTAGGCACTATTCCACAATCTGGCAACTCGGCCAGTAACGCCTACCATGACCTTGTATGATTGCCGTAACAAGTTTTACGCCAAAATACGGATGTAATCAAGGTAATCGTACAAAATATTGCCCAGGAATAACGAATAACAAAAGCACACTAAATGTCTAATCGGTGGGAACGTAGGCAAATTTCACCATTGGGACATTTTTAACCAGGTAATCCTCGAACTTAAAACATCTACAATGGCAATGACTAGTAGAATGACAATTTTCAGCAAGTGACAATATACCAATCATTTCCAAAACGGAGAAATGCCCTCCATAGGCAACATTTTTACAAGATGGCAGCTCAATGCGGTAGTATTGAGGGAACAAAAGATCTTCAAACTGCATAGAGATGACGGAACGCATAATTTAAGCAAGGATGATCAAGCTAAGGAATAAACTAGTAGAAGAAATCACCCAACTAAATCAGTCGAAACACAATCCTTATTCTAATACGGCGTTATGAGTTTTAATGGATTACTAAAGACATTTTGGAAAAAGGTGATGATATGAGATTGTTTTCCAGCGGGAGAAGCGCCTGAAATCAAAGTTGTCGTCATCCCGTGGAATTGTATATGGTGCGGTTTCGAGCCCCAGGCCGCTATCGCGTCTGATCCTTTGACTGCTGTCCTTATCGTCCGAGACGGACGTCGGGAAATTGATATCCCGCGCTGATGGCATATCGGTCAATTAAGTTACGACTCTAATTAAATGCGACGTAACAAAATATCGGACCCGAAATTGCGGCAAGGCAAATGCGTCGGACCGGTCGTATAATTTAATATCGACCGGACGGGACAAAATTTCGCGCCGCCCGCGGTAGCCCCTCACCCCCCGATGTCGATTTTCGATAAATACCAATCGCCGTTTTAATCTTGAATTATATCGTACGGCCGTATTGAGTAAACACGCGTGATTAGCCATGTGTGTCGGTTCTTAAGTCCGAGCGGCCAGTGTACGAGTTGAGTAAAGGCAGCCAGTAGTATCGTTAACTCGGAAGCAAACTCAGTCGAACCACGCCCACTTACCCTGAAGGGTTTTGAGGTACGCTTACCAGTAGTATTTTAAAAGTATCATTTATCGTCCTACTGGCAAGCGGCAATGCCAGTAGTACTGCTGAAAATCGGAGATAGATACCAACCTCATTTAGAGCATCTAATTTGAACACTGTTTATAATTAAACTCTCAAAAATGGAAACAAAGCAGTCACGCCCGTAAATAAAGACGCGGACACCAACAAACTTACCGTGAAGAGCTTTCAGGTACGCTTTCCCGGCGTTGATCATTTGCCGCGCCCCTGGGTTGAACTTGTCGAGGATATTCTGCAACAAAAATTACCCGTTTTATGTCGTGTTCGCTCTTAAGGAAGGCGGGGAGCGCGATTAAGCCGGCAAGGCGGGCCCATTCCGGGTGAATACTTAGTTTAACTTAATGAGTCGAAACGCTGCTTCGGAAAATCGAGAGAAACGGTTACAGTCGCATTCGGCACAAGATTTTGCTAATCTAGTACTACCGCCAGTAGAGATGTTGATAGGAAACTTCCCGCATCACGTATGGGAAGCCCTCGGATTTTCAGAGACTCGCTTCACCGCGTAACCACCGAAATCCTATTTTTTTACAGCAAACGCGCCATGAATACAAAGCGAATTTTAAGGCGCAACCCTCTTCCCTTTTAAATGCTAATCACCAGGCGACATTTCTCGAGCGTCGCCCTAATTTATCCGAATAGAAAAAATGTCGACATTTTTTATGCTAAATCTTTAATATAAAACTCGCCGGCTAGCGAGGAGAAAAAGCTTCGCAAATTACAATATAAATGTTAATTCTTTCCGCGTCGGTGACAAGTCGAAACGCCCCCCTGCCCCCCCCCCCAAAACTGTGACAACGGTACCGATGAAACGTTTTTAAACATTCAAATTTATTCTCGAAAAAAAAACACGCGAAACACGTCCCAGTCATGATATATTATATTGGCCGATTTTTTTTTATATTTCATTTATTTCGAAAATAGGGGGAGCACAATGGGCCGTAATTTACCTGCGTCGGCGTTAAATTTCACCCCATTCAGGCCCCGGTCGGAATTACGTAACGTTGATGCAAATTTTCTCCCTCGGGAGCGAAATAAATAACCGGGACTCTGTTCGCCTATATTTTCAGATCGGTCCTTCATAGCAAACGTCGGCAGTACTTAGTGACTGCCAGTAGTATAAAAACTCTACTGGAGATTAATCGACCAGCCAGTAGGATAAGGAACGCTGCTATTACTGGCTCTAAGATTCCTTTGTAACGTTGACAGCGTACTTGGGATTACACCGAACAGCCAGTACGACAGTTAGCGTGACTCCAAGTGCCCGTCACAAAGAAGCTTAGTGACAAAAGCTCTCTTGGAAATTAATCGATCAGTATACACTGATTTTACTGGTTCTAAAATTACTTCGCAACATTGAAACCGTACTCGAGAACATACAGAATGGCTCCGATAGCTGACCTTGCTGCCAGTGCCCGTCACTAGATCACTTTCTGATAGTAGTACAAAATTGTAAAGGGGATTAAATTGAGAAGCCAGTAGGATAGTAAACACTGGTATTACTGGATTTAAGATTCCTTGGCAACGTTGAAACAGTACTATGAATTAAACCAAACAGCTGACCTTGAATCAAGTGACCTAGTAATAGCCAGTAGTAGTACAAAATTATATTGACGGTTAAAACAAATAGCTAGAAAGAAGCAGGCTCTGGCACTACGGTCTCTAACTAATCCCAACGAGCAGACAGTACGATAGTCAAAAACCGTACGGCCGGTCAAACCGAACAGCCAGTAGGAGGGTAAGCACTGGCGCTTCCGAGTATAGTACGGCAGGGCTGGATTGCGGTTTTTTGAGACAACTGTACTTCAATCAAACTGTAGCAAGTAACCAAAACCATTAATGCTCGAAAAATTACCTACTGGGGAGCAAAACAAACGCACCCTCGTCGAACGGTGGTCCCCCGGAGGTTTTGTATTTAGGGGGTGTTTTAATTTGTTTGGCTTGACCGCCGCCCCCTCGGCGTGGCGGCGGCGTTTGATCGAAATTGCCGCTGCTGGAATCGTAAATCGCGTTCGGGGAGAGGCGGGCGTTTTGTTTGCGGTGTGGAGTGTGGGGGGGGCAAGGGGGTTGCGCAGAGGGAGATCCGGTTGTTTTTTAAGTGCGGCCGCGAGATCGATAAGGAGCGATTTGATCGAAGAACAAAATTTAAATTGATAAAGTTTGATACGGAAATTACGAGGAGATTAACGGGGCGGGGTGGGGCGGCTCATCTGTTTGCTGTTTGCCTGTTCTCCGGAAAAATTAATTAAAACTTTCGGTAAAAACTGAGAGCGGGCTTGACCTGCGGCTTGACTGGCTGTACCCAGTCGAGGGTCGGGGGGATATTGGTCATTATTTACTTTAACAATCGCTGTTATAAATGCTGGTACCCTATGTTAAAGTATATTTTAGAACTATTTAGAGTAACAAAACTTGAAAATACTAAAAGCACTTTGATTGTGTGGCAAAATAATTAATTTTTTTACCGAGTGCAAGTAGTACCACCAACCATTAAAATCTAAACATGCATTGTAATAATTTTAAATTATCCGTCCCAATCAATCTGGAAAAGTAATTATGGAAATTAAATAGATAAAATTTAAGTTTTGTAGGATAGAGTATCTATGGATTTAAAAAAAAAATGCGCGCATACGTCCATCACAATTTTTTCTTGTGCATTTTTCGCAGTAAATAGAAAATATACAGGGTGGGTGAAAAACGAGGTGTCGATACCAACTTTTTTTTTATGGAAGACCGTTTTTAAAATGCATTTTCGGATTCTTGTGTCAAATTTCACGCATAATTCATTTACCCTATATCATTAATTTGCCTTATTTCTTATCTAATTCTTTCTAATTGGGGGAAACAAACTGCAAAAGCGAATGTTTTACTAACAAGCTCATTATATCATCATTTTAGGATCTTCGCTGAGGAGATAACTTACAAAACGAATGTCAGTTTCCGAATGCTTGCCCAGGTTTCTCCGTAATCTCGACTGATGTGGGCACAATTTAAACTTGTGCATTGTTTGTATGTTAAATACGGGCCAAGCATGAGAATGAGGACAGTCCTTAAAACATTTTAGATGAATAAGAGGGATCCAGGAAAGCAATGATAAAAAGATGTAAACAGTGCAAATTCAAAACCAAGTTGAAATGGAAGTTAAAAACTCATATATTATCCACATACACGGCAAAGATTGTTTGCCATTTGAGCAAATCTAATAAGCTTGAAAACAAAGTGAATCCGCCAAAGAACTCTAAAATGCAAACTGTGAACTCTGATTAAATATGAAACCATTCCAATGCCCTCATAAATGTTCTATGGCATTTAAATACACCAACATGGAAAAAAACACATGACCACGAGCAATAAAGCAAAACAAAGAAAACCGATAATGAATAAACCAAGTGAATAAATCATATATATAGATCCGACAGTATGCTGACAATGCACTGTGCGACTTTTGTGTGAAATTAAAGATGTCGTCAACATGGCCGTCTTGGTTTTTGAAATACAGGATGAAATCCAAAACTATCGATTTTGGGACTACCCTTGCATCTCTTTTAAGTTATTGAAGAGGATTTTTTTCCGTAGAATCCAGTGGGGTAGTTTGTTTTTTACTTGCTCAAACGTATATTATTTTAAATGCCCTGTATATTATTTTGTAAGCTTGGCAAATAAAACATATACTTTTTAAATGTCGTAGACAGAAAGAAGGGTAACTTTTGTAAAAATTAAAATAAATAGTAAAGTATTAAAAATAGGTATATTTGTTTATTTATTTATTTAAGGAAGTACTACCTAACAGGCCTGAAGCCCAACTAACAGGTAAGTTGTAGTACAAAGTATTAAGGTAATGATATCAAGAAACTTAATTAACTGTAATAAAAAAAAACAAGAGAATGGGAAAAGACTGAAATTAATAATTATATTTAATAAGGTACCTTAGAAATAGACTGCGAAAAAAAATCCAAATCGTCTAGCGCATTGAATTTGGAACACATTGAGAAGATAGGCAAAAATTTAAAAATATTTGTTCGTGGTGCAGGCAGAACGAATGTGTTACTATACCAAGAGTTAATACGGGAACCAGAAAATTTAGTTTATGTAATAGGTCAGAGTAATCAAACAAGTTAATTAAAATTAATTAATTAAAAAAAGAAAAGATGGATTGTAAGAGAGGTATTAAATTATTAAAAAGAAAATGCCCCAAAGATGTGTATGTCAAGGTGGAAGGACAGCTTGAAAAAAGGTGTATCGATAAAGATTTGAACTTCTGGAATTCAGTAATATTTGCCGATGAGACGCAAGTAAACTTATTTGGATCCGATGCAAAAAACAGTACGGAGAAAGCCTAAGGAAGAATTAAAATTGAAAATTTTGGACGCTACGGTAAAGCTCGGTGGAGATGAAGTGATGTAATTGAAAATTTGTGGTTGACATTAAAAAACAAAGTAAATATTGCCCCAATATCTAACAAGAATGAATTAAAAGTAAAAATTACTGAAGTACGTACGATGTACCCCCGAAGTATACTAGAAAATAATGATGAGGCCCGACTAAATATTAGCAGGAGTATTTCAAATTATGTAGTTGTTTTTCTCTATTGATTTGGTTATATTTTGTTTTGTATCATTTAAGCTGTGGCGTTTTGATATTCTTTTTTGTTAACTAAGTAAGGCGTATTTAAGACGAAAGGTAATTCACACGTTTTTAGAAGGCCCTTTAATACATTCAGACCAGTTAGTTGTTGTTATAGCGACCGCATCATTTAAGCTGTGAGTCACTGCATATAAAAAAACTGACATACATATTGAGCCTGCAGAAATGCCTATTCTCTATCGTTTTCATGTAGACCATAGAAATAGACGTACTGAGTGCGGTTAGATAAGTATGAAGAAAACAAATGAACAAGCAATTCGGAAAATCCAAAGGCACGGAGTTTGTGGATTAGAACGTTATGATCTAGGTGATCAAACGCTTTTGAAAAATCAAGATATATGACGACCACGTGGATCTTCCTTTAAAAAAACATGTTAGACATTCTCCATATACCAGGAACGGCTTGGTTTCTCAGGCACAGATTAAAAAGTATTACAAGCGTATATTCGCTTATTTTTAACACCATGCAAAAGCAAATTCCGTTGCATATATCATTTATGTCGTCTTCGAATAATTTAAATATTAAGTATGAGTGATAAAAAATCATGACGCTATCGCAATTTTTTTGCAGGTGTGAAAATTAGTTTTTTT